AGTTTGGTTTCAGAGTCCTTCACAAGCCATTTATATTCATTAACAACAAACTATATTTATTTATTACAGATATTTCTATAGTGCTTTACAGAGAAGGTCTAACCCAATTATATCATTGCCTGCTCCGAGGAGCTTACAATCTAAAAGATACAGTCACGACTCTTATATAACTCCACATGTCAGTTCTTTGCATACCGTACATTCACATAAGTCCTTCCCCCAAGGAGCTTACAATCTAAGGGGCCCTTTCACACACACGAAGGCCAATGTAGTCAGGAGCCTATTAACCTACCAGCGTGTCTTTGGAGTGTGGGAGGAAACAGTCTGACACAAGCACAGGGAGAACATACAAGCTCCATGCAGATATTGCCCGGGTTGGGGTCCGAACCGAGAATGCCAGATTTTATATGCTTTATGTGTACAATCCATTCTGACGGCTACATTTATAGATTACGTCACAATAAAGGCCACCTGCAGGCAGCTTGGGAATAACCGGGAAGATGGCCGCCTGTATGGAGGAGCTTCAGGAGGAAGATTTTCCATGGAAGACGGCTAGATGTGTGGAGCATCTCTAGAGTAGTTGGGAACATGGCTACAGAGCCGTAGCTAGCTCCTTTTGCACCCGAGGCAAAAACAGAAAATTGTGCGCCCCCCCCCCCCCCCAACAGACGTGTGATGTCACCCAACGCCACACACGCGCGGCATCATTTGACGTCATGTGCCCCGCCTCCTAGCGGGGGGATGGCAGCGGGGATCCAAGAAGCTGGAGCCTGTGCTGCTCCTCTTCTCCCTGCTGAGCCATGGCTGTCTGTTGCCATGGCACCCTGTGCTTGCCATGGCAGCAGGGGGGGGGGGAAGCAAGGCCGGCCCTGGCTGCGCCCCCTCTCAACTGCGTCTGAGGCGAGTGCCTCACGCGCCCCATGGTGGCTACAGCCCTGCATGGCTACCTATATAGAGCATCTTTTGAAGGACCTGGGAGGATGGCTGGACCTGTGGAGCGGCTCTAGAGTAATTAGGAAGATGGCTACCCATATGGATCATCTTTGGAAGAACCAGGAAGATGGCTCTCCATATGGAACATCTTTAGTGGAAAAGTTACCATGGAATATGGATTCCTGTATAGTGCATCTCTACAGTAATTAGGAAGATGGCTGCCTGTATGGAACACATTCCAGTGCTACATTTATAGATTATGTTACAATGAAGGCCAGCTTTGGGCATCTTTAGAAGAGCTGGGAAGATGGCCGTCTATATGGAGCATCTTCAGAGGAAGATTTTCCATGGAAGATGGCTAGATGTGTAGAGGATCTTTAGAAGAACCAGGACAATGACTTTCTATATGGAACAACTTTAGAAGAACCTGGGGGAGATGGCAAGATGTATGGAGCATCTCTATAGGAATTCGGAAGATGGCTACCCGTATGGAGCATCTGTAGAAGATCCAAGAAGATGGCTCTCTACATGGAGCATCTTCAGAAGGAGAAGGAAGATGGTTGCCCTTATAGAACATCTTTAGTGGAAAGGTTACCATGGGATATGGCTTCCTGTATGGAACATCTTTAGAGAAGTCTACTATGCTGAACAGTATCCCGGAGAGCTTGGGAGAAGCTGCTGCACATTGCATGGAGACCTCATTGGCCAATGTTTTAAAGGAGGAGAACTATGAGGTGGGTGATTTTCACTCCTCATAGTTCTAGTCGACCTGTGACAATGAGACTGTCACAGGTCGGCTCAGTAGATCGGGAGGTGAGAGAACACATACGGCGTTCGCTCACCTCTCGATCCTGTCACAGCTCTCTGCCGTGACAGGGAAGGGACTGGATTCCCCCCTCCGATCCTCTAGCGCTGACTGGCGTAACGGACGGGGGAGGGTACAGCTGGCCCTGCCTCTAGATAGGCAGAGCCAGCTGTCACTCACGCAGCTGGGTGGATCCAGACATAATTTTCAGCTGCGGCGTCTCAGTATACCGCAAGCTGTAGCTCCCTATATACTGAGCTTAGGGTGACGGGAGGTCGCTAGGTTGTGTCCTCCCGTTACCCTTAGGAGAACTATGGGGGAAAGCCCTAACCCCATAGTTCTCCTTTAAGGTCTGCTATGAAGCGGTGCCGGATATTCTGCTATTTTTGGGTATCCTATGCACCCTAGCCCTATAGAAAAGATTAAAGTGACAGGTGCCCAACTCTTTCTTTTTCTCTACAATGTATATACAGTATATATACACGGCGTTCTCTTCCGAAATATTGATGGTGAAGCCCATGAACCGGCTCAGCCATAGATCATGGATTCTCACCTCCTCCAACACATTACATTCATTCATTTTTCCCACCGGGTCCAGTCAATAATTCAATTTCTCAAACAATATTTGACTCTGGTATGTGGACACTGGAGGCCTGGACCAGAATTGTGTCTTTGCTGTCTGATTGGCTTTCATCTGACTTTTGTCGCATTGCGTCACACATTGTAAAGCATTAGCTGGTAAGGAGGAGTTCTATCATTGGACAGCCTGGAGATGACGCATGATGTGCGCAGCGGGAGTCGGCTTCTAGAACTGCAGGAGCAGCAGGTAGCGCATACGGGCCTGGCTCTCCTTGTAGACGAGGTATTCACTCTGAGAGAAGTGCGAGTCCTTGAATTTAGGTGTGGGTTTTGGAGGTCCTTGTGGTACAATGATTTTCCGCCCGTCCAACATCAGCTTGTGATCCATCTTGGGGTCTACAAATAGATCATAAGAAAAAAAAATGGATGTAAGGATATAATTATAAACCATCAGCATGGGTCTTTGTGCTTCCCAATGCAACATCATAGCACCCTCCTCTCAAGAGCCCTGATGGAAGCAGTGGGCTGGCTCTTGGGAGGAGTTATGCAAATAACAAAATGGGCGGGTGTCGGTCTGGAGGAGCGGGCATTGCTAGGCAGGCTGCATTTGTCTGAAATATTTCTGAAATGCAGAACCGTCTTGGAGAAGCTGCTGGTCTGAGGGTCACACATTTGGTCACATGACCTCTGCTGCAGATGAGCCAATCAGAATTCTGATCCCTCCCTTCGGCAGAGATCGCAAGACTCATGGAGTGTGACCCCGGAGCGGTACTTTCTCCACTATAAAATGCGACAATAAATACAATTGGTAACCAGAGATGATGGTTCTCCATACCTGGCTCTGTGATTCCGCGTGCCACGACACTGTCATACCCCGCCGGCGCCTTTTTTAAGGACGAGTCATCTCTGGTGATGTGATACTCCTGCCCCAGGGCCACTTCATTCAGGAACATGATTCCAAGGGACTTCGAAGTGCAGCCGACTACGAGAAAAGAGATTAGTGGCACCATCAGTTCACGTACCTATATGACCAGACAGTGGCTCAGTGGTAACACTGCGGCCATGCAACATTTAGTTATGGCTTCAGTCCATCATCAGCGCACAGCTGCAGTCCTCACTATGGTGGATAGAGCAGCCGATGGCCATACAATGGTTGGATAGACTCTCCCCGGCCACTGATTATTATTTCTACCATCAGTACTGCAATAACATAGAGCTGCCCTAGGCCCCCCGCCTCATGTGACCCTCTACAGAGGTGTGTTTGAGGATCACTGGACCCAAACCCTGGTGGTATAAGGTTTTTAGATCTGGATCGCAACTTTCTATCAGCCGGGGTATCCTTGGGGGGGTCCCCGGAGAAGCCTAAAGAGTGAGGTGAATGAGAGCGCCTCAGATACAGTGTAGGTCAAGTCAATCTTTATTGGCACTATACATCTCAAGAACAAAAACCAGGCATTTCAGGGGCTCAACACTCCCCCTTTATCAGGGCTTAGATGCTGAAAGAAAATAAATGGAGAATACTGCACAACAAGTCCCAAGATGCTCACGCAGCCACTCACTGATGACGTCACTCAATACAACCAGCTTTATTAGGCTTACAACCGCGCTGCAACAAGCCTTAGGAACCTGGTGTTACCGAGTGACCTCATCGGTGTGCGGCTGCTTGAGCATCTTAAGGACGTAGTAGTTAGGAGTCAGGAAGTGCTTCTTCGGGGAGCACCCGACAGCACCTTGTATTTGATGTCTCCGGGAGAGAGCAGCGTCTCTATTCCTTTGGGGGAGGGGGCGGTTACAGCTGGCTCTGCCTCTAGATAGGCAGAGCCAGCTGTCACTCACGCAGCTGGGCGGATCCCGGCACAATTGTTGGGATCCGCTTCAGCGTCGGCGTCTCAGTATACCGCTCGCGGTATACTGAGCCTGGGGTGACGGGAGGACGCTAGTTTGTGTCCTCCCGTTACCCTAAGGAGAACTATGGGGAAAAGCCTTAACCCCATAGTTCTCCTTTTAAATTTAGGTCGTCACTTAAGGTCGCCAGCTCGTTCACTACCTCCAAAGAGCACCACAGAGCTGGCACAGGTATTACACTTGGGACTCCACCAAGTGAATGGGGCAGCTGGGGAAAAATACTGATCAGTTGGTGGAAAGGTATAAAGAGAACCTGTCACTCAACGGGCAAAGCAGCAGCTTCACTTTAAATTCCCCCGGGCACCGCCATCTTACCGTATCCTGCAGATTTACTGTTCTCGGAGGCAAAGTAAATCCCTCTGCCCACGCGCCCTCCTGAATGAGGCATTATGCGCAGGCCGCTTTTCAGAATGGCCGCCACCACCGCTACTTGGGTGCCGTGCCACAGCAAGCGTCGGTTCTCGATGTCTTTGTGCTCTTTGAGTCTTTCCTCCTGTAGTAACGAGAGATACAGAGATAAGAAATAATGGAAGGGGAAGAGCATGCTGGGACTTGTCACAATACAATCTCATAGAAGATTTAACATGTTAAGATTGAGAAAAAAAAAACTTTTAAAATGAGATTATTAAATCGGAAGCTTTCATTAAAATAATCCCACCATGGAGGTCCTTGTTCAGGCACTTCCTGTTGTAGGGTGATATCGTTCTGCCTCATCTCCCAATTGGTCTCCTGCTTTGTCACCCCATCACATGCGCCCCCTGTTAGTACTCATAACAACCATTCACAATGATCACATGATCTGGAAACCCATGAAACACCTTCGGCATTTAGACTTCATAGAGGGCATGGCAGGAAACCAGCGGGAAGGGGATAAACTTGCTTTAAAGTGACATTTAACATAAACCAATACTGTAATGTGCGCCTTACTGTAATCCATGGTTGTTTCCCTTCTCTTTGCTGCTCTTCCTTTTAAATCCTCATGTCTTCTCATGCTGTGCAGAACTTCTGTTTTGCAGCAGACTGCCTTGTCTCTGAAATGGATACATGGTGTCTGTGTGAAGGTTCACAACCTGAGCCAGCACTACAGGAAGAGGCAGTCAGCTGCAAAGGGAAGTTCTCCCCCAGCATGAGAAGAGATGAGGATTTAAAAGGAAGAGCAGCAAAGAGAAGGGAAACTACCATGGATTACAGTAAGGCACACATTACAGTATTGGTTTATGTTAAAAAATCTGAGTGTTTAATGTCACTTTAAGCTGCTTCTTTGTTCCATTTGGATTATATGGGAAGAGAACAAGTTGTGATGCAAACAAAAGCCCAACGACACAAACTCGGAGAGTAAAGTATGACCGACCTCCATGTCTCGGTCCACGCGCCAGACATTGAGGATCTTCAGCTTCCTATAGGTGGGTCCAGTGTTCTGCACATACTTGTCAATCACCTTAAAGAGATACAAGACAAGTTACAGCATACATAGTTACATAGTTACATAGTATTTGAGGTTGAATAAACACACAGGTCCATCAAGTTCTACCTATTCCGTGTATGTGATTCTGCATGTGTACGAGTCCCTGTGTGATCTTTTTTTTTGTTTAAGGGTAACTGAATCCTTATATGTTGCGGTCTCTGAGGAAATTGTTCAAATGCTTTTTGAATGATTCCACACACTCAGCTGATACCACTGCTTGTGGCGGAGAGTTCCAGACCCTGACCGCTCTGACTGTGAAGAACCCCCTACGCCCCTTGTGCTTAAATCTTTTCTCCACCAGTTTTAGGTGGTGGCCTCTAGTCCTTGTTATGGAGTTTACCGTAAAAGGTTTATTGCTGATGTTGTTATCACCATTGAACATCTTGTACATCAAAATCATGTCCCCCCTTTAAAAAGGAGAACTATGAGATGAGTGATTTCCACTCACCTCATAGTTCTAGCCGACCTGTGACAATGAGACTGTCACAGGTCGGCTCAGTAGATCGGGAGGTGAGCGAACACATACCGGTGTTCGCTCACCTCTCGATCCTGCCGTGACAGGGGAGGGGCTGGATTCCCCCCTCCCCGCTCCACCTGCGCTGACTGGCGGAACGGATGGGGGAGGGTACAGCTGGCTCTGCCTCTAGATAGGCAGAACCAGCTGTCAGTCACACAGCTCGGCGGATCCCGGCAGTAGCTTGTGGTATACTGAGCCTAGGGTGACGGGAGGGCGCTAGTTTGTGTCCTTCCGTTACCCTATGGAGAACTATGGGGAAAAGCCCTAGCCCCATAGTTCTCCTTTAATATCCTCACTTCCAGCGTGAACATGTTTAAATTTAGTAACCTGGTCTCATAGCTTTGGTCCTCAAGCCCCTTAATTAGTTTAGTTGCCCTTCTCTGGACTCTTTCCAGCTCAAGGACATCCTTTCTGTGGATTGGTGACCAAAACTGGACCGCATACTCCAGATGAGGCCGAACCAGCGATCTATAAAGTGGTAAAATGATTTCCTTGTCTCTACAGAACATTCCCTTTTTTAATACAAGACAGAACTCTGCTCGCTTTGTTTGCAGCAGCCTGGCACTGCAAGCTATTATTAGAAGGCCATGGCTTTCCCATCATCCCTTGTGTAGACTCCAATTCACCGCACTCTGCTAAATGCAGAGACGAGCCGGAACTTTTATTGCGGCAGTAGCCCCTCTGCATGACCAACCCATTTAGCAGCAAATGATCCTAATCCAATCAATGACGTACATATGGAAATTATATTAAAATTTAGGCTTCAATAACCTTCAGCTCCTCAACGTTCATCATTTGTTTCCATCATTGGTATTGATAGAACTTCATAGCAATGGTGGACTCAATGGTTTTATAAAGTCACATTGCCCTGAGTGCTTGCTCAGTAGACAGGTTCTCTCACACTCACCTTGTACTCCTCACATTTAGCATCCAGTAAGTCAAGCTCACACTTCAGGAGCTGATAATCCACATCCAGGGGGTGAGGGACCTCTTCCAGTTTACAATCCTGTTCCTGCTTCACCTTGTCCGCCTGTAGAGTCTGAGCCAGCTCAATGTCTGCCAGGACCTGATGGGGCAATGGAAGCATTTAGAGTGGGACAATGCGGCCAGCAAGATTTGGCCTTTCACCTCAGAGCGGAGGATTGAAGACAGAGAGCGGCTGTATACAGATAATTATCCTGTGTATTAGATTTGGAAGATTGAGTAGAACCTGACTGGTCCTCTCTGGAACCGTTCTTTGTTGCCCCTTAGCCACCAAAGGTTTGGTCTCCGGCTCTTCTTTTTCCATTTTCCGATTTTAGTGGCCAGGGGCAACAGAGCTTCAGTTCTTACCAGATGTCTGTATATAAATATAAACCCCGGTACCAGTAGCATGTCCTTCTTGGCTTGCAGGACTTCCTGGCTGTCGATAATCGGGGGTGTCTGGCGACCAAAGTTGTGCGGAATGATGGTGTAGAAGCGGGAGGACAGGTCACTCAGCTCTGGCTTTTTGCCCTTTCTGTCAAAGGCGGCCTGCAGGTCCTCCAGAGCGTCGAAGCCCTTTGCTATCTGCGCCTTACTCAGCTTCCCCAGTGGCATCTTCTTTATGTCTGGAACACAGACAGTTCACGTTTACTTGGCACCCTCTACAATTTATATCCGGCGGTAGAGCTAGTCCATTGTGGTTCCTACAGACAAGTCTAGTTTTGTTCTTCCCTTTGTACTCCTTAAAATTATTTTTAACCACACTGGGGCAAATGTTTAAATTTGTATTACCAATAGAAGGCAATAACAGTATCTCTTACTCTAGTCACTTCTGTACACTATATGGCCAAAGGTTTGTGGACTCCTCACCATCACACCTACCCCTATGGCAAAAAGTATGTGGACTTCAGGTGTCTCCAGTGAAGATTCTGATCCTCCATCATACAAAGACATTGAAGACAATTGTCCTCTTCCAGCCTTGTGGTCACAGTTTGGTGAAGACCCTTTTCTGTTCCTCCATGACTGTCCCCTGTGTACAAAGCCAGCTCCATAAAGACATGGTGTGACCAGCTTGGTGGAGGAACTCGAGTGTCCTGCACAGAGCCATGACCTCAACCCTACTGGACACCTTTGGGATGAAGTGGAAAGCTAATTGTGAGCCCGGTCTTCTCATCCACCATCAGTACCTGACCTCACAAATGGCCACAAATACCCACAGACACCCTCAAAATTCTTGTGCAAAGTCTTCCTACAAGAGTGAAGGATGTTGTAGCCACAAAGGGAGGCCAACTTCTTATTTTAATGACCATGAGGGGGCAACTCCACATTAATAGCCATGGGGGCAGGGCCAGAGCAATTTATGGCTATATATCAGCCTCAGGCTAATATGTAGCTCATATACCTGCCCTTCCCTCTATGCAACCTCAGCACTGCGCACCTTTCCACTGAAAATGGCCTTCAGATAGGATTTACCTCTATTTTTAACCCTTTGTTTGATTTGTATTGGCATTCCCGGTATAAATGGAGAAGATAATCTTAAACGCAAAGCTTATTTCCTGTAAATGAAAACTACCGAATGGCAGACATCACACAGAAACTGTCCCTCCGCACAGCAATGTGACATAAATGCCAAATATCTCATTCTCATTCGTGGAGGAATCCTTTAATTACCCAGATTCATGGTCTGCATGGCTTCCTTGAACATGTCACTGCTGAAGATCAATGTCATCAGGTCCTGAGTGGGTTTGTCCAGGGAACACGGCTTCGTCTTCTTAGACACACCGTCCACTGTGTCCACCTGGGGGGGATAGAAGTTCGCTGTCAGTAAAAAATATGGAAGTCGTCTCTTCGGTCAATTAAAGGAGAACTATGATGGGGGGTGCTTTTCACTCACCTCATAGTTCTAGCCGACCTGTGACAATGAGACTGTCACAGGTCGGCTCAGTAGATCGGGAGGTGAGCGAACACATACCGGCGTTCGCTCACCTCTCGATCCTGTTACAGCTCTCTGCCGTGACAGGGGAGGGGCTGGATTCTCCCCTCCCCGCTCCGATCCACCAGCGCTGACTGGCGGAACGGACGGGGGAGGGGGCGGGTACAGCTGGCTCTGCCTCTAGATTGACAGCTAGCTCTGCCTGTCACGCAGCTGGGCGGATCCCGGCATAATTGTCGGGATCCGCTTCAGCTGCGGTGTCTGAGTATAGCTGTAGCTCCCTATATACTGAGCCTAGGGTGACGGGAGGACGCTAGTTTGTGTCCTCCCGTTACCCTAAGGAGAACTATGGGGAAAAGCCCCATAGTTCTCCTTTAAATTGTGATAGAAAAAAGTTCAACAAGTCAAAAACAAATCTCCAACCGGCAGCCAAATATAATCACCCCTTCTATGATTGGTCGTGTGGGTAAGGAGGCAGAGAAGGCATGGATAATGGAGAAGAAAAACTGCTTCCCCTTGTTGCTTTCATTTTTTGGGGGATACATGGCTTGCAGTGCATGTATGTGCAGCATGGTGCATGAATGAACCAGTTGTAGGAGTTAGATCACCAATGGCTGACCAAAGGCCAAACAGAGAAGATGTCAGACCTGGAAGAAGTGGAGAAGACCTGAGGACAGAGCAGAGACCGAGATCATGGTGCTGATGGAAGGCAAACCGAGAAGAAACTCTACTAGACTTACACATTATGACAACTGCTATTGACCCCCAACCACGTTACAGTTCTGTTTGTTGGCTTTTATTACTCTCTGCGACACCATTGGGGATATTCTGTCCCCGTGACACCAGGACAAGGAATGGGTAGAGCGGTTGCCACCAGGGCCTGGAAGGGTCAGTCAAGAACACAGACAAAACATTGGGGTCTATATACAAAGAATTAGCAGAGCAATTCGTCCTATTACTTTTTTAAATATTTGTTCTGTGCGAATAGATGCAAAAATGAACGTTCTTAGATATATATTTTTTTCAGGCTGTATGGAATGTAATACTGCATTATGGCCACTAGATGGAGCTGTTGAGTATAGGAAATACATGCTTATTTCCTATGCTCCTTAGCTCCATCTAGTGGCTGAGATATATATATCTATATAGATATATATCTACAGTATATATAGATATCTATATAACTATATAGATATAGCTATAGATATATATGAACATTCATTTTACCTGCTCAGGATCTGTAATTATAGTCCGCCAGTCTTGTGGTCCAAAAGCCCAAGAAGATCCCTGACCTCCAGTGTGGTGAAGCAAAACTGTTGCGTCATGGCTCTGCCCCAGGCTACTGATTGGGCCATGAAGAAATATAACCAATGACCATCCATCACAGCACTTTGTGACAATTCTAAATCCACGCACCTTGACCATGGCCTCTCCGGTGTCCTCATCATCATCGTCATGCTCCACCTCGATCATGGTGTATTTTCCGGGGTATGCCGTGAAGTTCTCCCGCTCCGACCAGCTGTTCTTCGTCTTATCCTTAAACTTCTTCTCAAAATCCTTCTTAGCAGACGCCATATCGGCGCAATTGCTCAGCTTGGACTGGCCGACCTCCCCCTGTAATGACAGGAGATCTCCTGGTAAAATTAGAGGCCAAGAGCGGTTTTTGGAGGGCAGTCACCTCCTATGCAGAACCAAGAAGTCATTGAGAGATTTGGGGGTACTCACCACGCGGCCCCAGCGGTTCCAGATGGAGTATTGGGGTGGCTTAGCCTCAGGGCAGTGGAGGAGTTGGATGATGTAGAATTTGTTGTTGTTGTGCCCGATGTTTGTCTGGTTCAGCATACAGTCATAGTCCTCCAAGACCTGAAATAAGGACCAACAAGTGCAGAGTCAGGTGCAGCCGGGAGTGATAATAGACGGAGGGAGCAGAGACGCGGAAGAGGAGGCAGAGAAAGGCCATGTAAGGGGTCCATTGAGACATTTTTTTTCCATTATTGTTAAAGCCGACCTCCGTCCTTCCCTTCAGTCTTCTATGTGACCTCCGTCCTTCCCTTCAGTCTTCTATCTGACCTCCGTCCTTCCCTTCAGTCTTCTATGTGACCTCCGTCCTTCCCTTCAGTCTTCTATATGACCTCCGTTCTTCCCTTCAGTCTTCTATCTGACCTCCGTCCTTCCCTTCAGTCTTCTATCTGACCTCCGTCCTCCCCTTCAGTCTCCTATCTGACCTCCGTCCTACCCTTCAGTCTTCTATCTGACCTCCGTCCTTCCCTTCAGTCTCCTATCTGACCTCCGTCCTTCCCTTCAGTCTCCTATCTGATCTCCGTCCTCCCCTTCAGTCTCCTATCTGACCTCCACACTTGCACTTCACACTGTGCAGCATTTGTTTCAGATCGTCCTGGACTAGAACGCAGGCATTGTTTTGCCCCACGTTTCTGGTACGGACGATTTCACTGCGGGAGGGGAGCGTGGCCGCGGTGCCATTGACTTCAATACACTGCCACGCTAACTCCCGCCCCTGAACGCAGGAAGCCGGCCAGGATGCGATACAATGCGTTCCAGCAGCTGACCGCTCTGGAACGCACTGTTTACGGTGTGGACAAGCCCATAACCCTTTATGTCGGCTATAGTATTTGATGGACATGACAGGTCCTCATTATGATGTTTACACTTGCACATGGTGGGGTGTCTGTGTGAATGCTCTCTTCTGATTGGCTCACCTCGTATCCTTCGCAGGAACTCAGGCAACAGGGGGTATCTATCTTGGCCTTCCCTTTCTTCCCGGAAGCGGATTTTAGCGCCTGTATAGCGCTCTGGAAGCGGTCGGGGGCCTGAATCTCCTCCTCCTTCACCTCCTCCTTCACCTTGGTCTTCTTGCCCCTCTTAGCGCTCTGGGCCTTGGTCGCAGCCTTCCTCTTGGGCGCCATCTTGTATGCGGTCTCTGAAACCAGATCATTGATTATAGACTGCTCTGCGTTTACCATCTTTCTTCATTGTTTATATTAGGGGAGCCGCCTTTTCTTCAAACCCGGACACTGGAGGGGTGCATGGCAGTCTTTTTTTCTGGAGAGTAAACAGGAGAGACAGCCAGAAGGACAGAGAGCGAGGAAAGACAGCCAGCCGGGGGAGAGCGAGGAGACAGACAGCCGGGGGAGACAGACAGCCGGGGGAGAGAGAGAGCGAGGAAAGACAGCCAGCCGGGGGAGAGAGAGAGCGAGGAGACAGACAGCCGGGGGAGAGAGAGAGTAGCTCCAGGCACAGCTCTGGACACAGAACCTCAATCACAATGTGGCGAGGGGTGAGAGGCCGCACATGAAATACCAGTGGCCCTGGCAAACTCCTGTCTTGGGCCCCCTACAGTTGTGGAACACAAGGGCCTGTGGCACCCTATTTCAGCCAATGGCTGCTCCTGTCCGGGTGAGATCTTATATCCGGGTTTCAGGCGGCCTGAAAGATGGACACAAGATTGAAAATTGGGACTGTGCGGGTGAATCCCGGACGTGTGACAACCCCGGTGTGTGAATAAAGAGTGACAGGAAAACCCGAACAGTAGCAAAGTAGGTACATCATTGTTGATTGGCAGCAAGGTTTTGTACGTGGGGGTTGGGGGCAGCCAAGTAGTATTTAGCAGAGGGTAGGGTGGGGGCAAATAGTCGTACAGTGGAGGGTACATTGGCAGCCGGCAAACATATGAAAGTGGGGGGCACACTTGCAACAGAGTGGTAAGTAGTGCATAGGTTGATTGGCAGCAGAGTGGTGTAAAGAAGAAGGGCAGACTGGCAGCAGGTAGGTTTATGCAGAGAGCATCCTTGTGGCAGAGAGGTGTAGGCAGACAGAGGGCACGCCGACTACAGAGGGCGGACGCTGACAGAGTGTATACAGAGGGGTCACGCTGACTACAGAGAGGGCACGCTGACTACAGAGAGGGCACGCTGACTACAGAGAGGGCACGCTGACTACAGAGAGGGCACGCCAACGAGTGTATACAGAGGGGGCACGCCGACTACAGAGGGGGCACGCTGACTACAGAGAGGGCACGCTGACTACAGAGGGGGCACGCTGACTACAGAGAGGGCACGCTGACTACAGAGAGGGCACGCTGACTACAGAGAGGGCACGCCGACTACAGAGAGGGCACGCCGACTACAGAGAGGGCAGGTCGACAAGTGTATACAGAAGGGGCACGCTGACTACAGAGGGGTCACGCTGACTATTGTAAACAAGAGAGGGCACGCGGACTACAGAGAGGGCACGCGGACTACAGAGAGGGCACGCCGACTACAGAGAGGGCACGCCGACTACAGAGAGGGCACGCCGACTACAGAGAGGGCACGCCGACTACACAGAGGGCACGCCGACTACACAGAGGGCACGCCGACTACACAGAGGGCACGCCGACTACACAGAGGGCACGCCGACTACAGAGAGGGCACGCCGACTACAGAGAGGGCACGCCGACTACAGAGAGGGCACGCCGACTACAGAGAGGGCACGCCGACTACAGAGAGGGCACGCCGACTACAGAGAGGGCACGCCGACTACAGAGAGGGCACGCCGACTACAGAGAGGGCACGCCGACTACAGAGAGGGCACGCCGACTACAGAGAGGGCACGCCGACTACAGAGAGGGCACGCCGACTACAGAGAGGGCACGCCGACTACAGAG